CCAACCATCCAACCAGCCAACCATCCAACCAACCAACCATCCAACCATCCAACCAACCATCCAACCAACCAACCAATCAGACAACTAGATGAAGATGACGAGGATTGTTTTATTGAAGCTTGTCGCATCTATGCTCTCTGGCTTGATGATAACACGTACATCACTGAATCTGAAAAGGTGAGTTATTACGATGAGGATATCTTCATGATGATATCTTCCACAATGATGATATCTTTATTATGATATCTTTATGATGATACCCCAATAATGGTGATTGATAGTTACTGACAGATATCGCATTCGTAATAACATTGACAATGACATTATCAACAACGCCATCAACAACACTATCATCATCATCAACAACAGCAACAACAACAACAACAATAGGACTCCATCTTGGACCTGATAAGGAAGGATTGGTTCATGACGTCAGGTCGCAAAATGTCGACCGGGAATGACGTCAGGCAGGCCGTCAACAGTATGCGCAATTTCGGCAACCATTTCGTCGAGAATGTCGTCAACACGGTTGACAATGACGTGAGTTTCATTCTCATTCTCATTCTCATCACATCGTGTCAAGCGATAACTTCATTATCACCACAAACATCATTATCATCATCGTCAACATCATTATCATCATAAACATCAACATCACCATCATCATCATCATTATTACTATCATCATAACACGACCAGGGTAACACGACTCTCCACTATGCAGTATCTCACGCCAACGCGCCTGTCATAGAGGTGCTACTGGATACTGGAGTCTGTGACGTCAACAAGCAAAACAACGCTGGTCTGTTCGGCCATCTTTGATACATTTATTTTTTTTCATTCGTTCATTTGTATGTCTGTCCGTTTTTCATTCATTCGTTCATTCTACAAATGAACCACCAATCAACCAACCAATTAACCAACCAACCGACCAACCAATTAACCAACCGACCAACCAACCATCAACCAGCCAATGAACTAACCATCAAACAACTAACCATAAACCAATCATCCAGCTTACCATCAACCAACCAACCATCAACCAACCAACCAACCAATTATCCAACTAACCATCAACCTACCAACCAACCAACCAATCCAACGCAGGTTACACAAGCAGCATGTTGGCCGCATTATTAGTTGACGACGTCCAACGGCACCGACCACTGCTGAAAAAACTTTTCGACTCTGGCGACATCAACGCCGCTTCAGAGCGCGTTAGTTCGAATCGCTTGTGTGATTGATGAATTGTTTTGACAACTGACCAACCATACGGCCATTCAACCAACCGGCCAACCAATCATTCATTCGACCATTTAACTAACCAATAGACCGACCGTCAAATCAATTGCAGAGCGGACAAACAGCTTTAATGTTGGCATCGAGTCACGGCAGAGAGGACATGGTCTCGCTTTTGTTGGAGTGCCAGGCAGACATCAACATGCAAGATGAGGATGGTTCAACTGCGCTGATGTGCGCCAGCGAGCACGGACACATCAACATAATTAAGATCCTTCTGGCAAGTCCACTTTGTAACTCATCCCTATCAGACGTTGTACGTTTTCTGCTTTTTTTTCTAAGATTTGTTATGGTGGATTTTAGATTTGTTTTGGATGCGTCGACGTTGTGTTGCAATATTGGTCGCTATATAATTCAATTGGTTTGTTGAGTTTTATTCCATTGTATTAACACTAACTATGACAAAAAAAATCATTTCAAAGACAATATCACCAACTTTGACAACTTCTGTCAAAGTAACAACACTCATCTGCAACAACATTCATCTGCTGCAACATTCATTTGCAACAACATTCATCTGCAACAACATTCATTTGCAACAACATTCATCTGCAACGACATTCTTCTGCAACAACATTCATCTGCTGCAACATTCATCTGCAACAACATTCATCTTTCTGCAACTTTCACGACCGGTACAAGATGTAGTAACTCAGGCAAAACCAGTTAAAACACTAACAACGACATGAAAAGCAACACTGACATCATCACCACCACGACCGACTACAACAACAACAACAACCATAACAACAACAACAACAACAACAACAGGACGGAAGCACAGCCCTCTCGATCGCAATGGAGGAGGGTCATCAGGACATTGGAGTGCTCATCTACGCGCACGTTAAAGCACATGCCGCTATTGATGTTAGTTGTCACGATGATGATGACGATGATGATGATGATGATGATGATGATGATGACGATATCTTCATGATGGAATTGATGAATGTAAAGCCGTGATAACTATGTCTACAAGAATGACGTTAATTGCTAATCACCAATGATTAGCGATGGTTACGACTATGACAGTGATGACGATGATGATGGTAATTATATTAGAGATAATCATGGCGCTAATGAAAAAATTTGGACCGGAGTAGATATTACTACGATTTGTGAGCTCTTAATATTTCTAATTATTCTCGTGATGATGAGGATGATGATGATGGCGATGATGAGTTGAAAATGATGACGACGACGATGATGAAGATGATCGAAATGAAATTATAATAGCAATAACAATAAATAATAATAATAATAATTTCGAGATAATAAATTTAATTATAGAGGACTTGTTAATAAAGACTCTATCATCATTGTCGTAAACTTTGTTTTATCACCGATAATGAAACTGCTGACGATTTTTATGATGACAATGATGATGTTTTGGCGCTTATGATGACGACGATGATGAGGAAAATGAGGATGATTGATTGGTTGGTTAACAAATATTAGGATGATGAACTATAAATTTAAGCTGTGTGAATCTGGTATGGCAGTGGAATTTCAAAAATTTTTCAATCTTTCGTAAAAACAATGCAAATGACAACTTTAAAAGAGAAATTGTTAGATTTTTATTTTTAATCTTATTTTGTTAACGACATCGTCATCATTATTATTCGTATTATTGATGTAGTGATGTGATGTTGTTTGTGGCGGTGTTAATTGACATCATCTATTGCATTCATCGTTATTATCGCAAACAAACTTTTAATATGTGCATAACCAATGTAAACATCATCATTGTTTTCATCATCATTATTTTCGTCGTCGTCGTCGTCATCATCTTCGTCAAAAATTATCAAATCATCAACATTGTCACCATCATATTCATAATCGCAACAACCACTATCATTATCTACATCATCCCTATTACGATGATCATAATCATTATTTTCTTCATCATCAATCACGTGACAGGAAGAGGAAATGAATGATGAGGATGTTCCAACCACTGCAGCAGCCGATGATGATGAAGATGTAGGTAGCGCTGTATGATAGGAGGAAAAGACGAAAGAGAGAGAAAGTGCGAGTTATATAGAAAGAGAGAGAGAGAGAGAGAGAGAGAGAGAGAGAGAGAGAGAGAGAGAGAGAGAGTAGAGAGAGAAAAAGAAATATTGCATATTAAATTTCATGAAAATTTGCTTTGATTAGTTAAGATCATTTCATTATTTATGGTTTTAACAATAATTTTTAATATCGTTTGATTAAAAAAAAACGTTAAATTATTATCGCCGCTTCATTTTCTTCATTCGTTCATTTGTTTCTATTACATTCTGTCTACGCCTCAGTTAGCCAATTGTATTGTTTTGTATTGTACTGTATTGTATTGTATTATTTTGTCTATTTATTTTACAATGTTTTCAAGTTTTTCGCTTTTTACTTAATTTTTCTCGTTACTTCGTTGGTATTTAATAAATTCATTTTTTCATTCATTAGTTCGTTCGTTCGTTCATTCATTCATTCATTCATTCATTCATTCATTTATTCATCCATTTATTCATTCATTCATCTGTTTATTTATATATTTGTTTTTTCATTCATCTGTTCAGTCAATCCTCTATATATTTACTTGTTGATTCATTTGTTTCACCATCTCAACTATTAGTCAAGTTATCTATTCTCTACAACTTATTCAATATTGTAATCATTTGGCAATTTTTTGATGATAAGCAATAAAATTAATGAAAGTTTCCTGAATGAAAGTGCCAATAATAGTCACATAACATATTAATTTAATTGTGTAGTTATATCGCCACACTCACATACACACACACATACACACACACTCATCTACGTAGAATACAAATCTTTTGCCTTTTCTTGACGATCCTTTTCATCTCCTTCTTGTAACTTCTTAATTTTTATCTAGGATTGCTTTTTGTAACTCGCTCTACTATGGTCTTCCTGATTCTACACTCTATTCTAGTTGTTCGTGCTCCTTTCTTTTTTCATATATCTTTATATCTTGTCCTCTTACACTGGCTATCTATAAAATTTAGAATAATTTTTAAAATTTGCATATTTATGTATAAGTCTCAATCTAAATTATTTCCTAAGTACTTATCAGATACATTAATTGAACCTAAATGCCCCGGTTTACAATCATCTTCTTGTTCTCAATTCTTCTAAACGCATGCTAAACACTCTTTTGCTACATCAGCTTTTGCTTTTCTCTGGAACTCTCAACCTTCTTCTCTGACTACTTCTCTAGCACTTTCGAAGTTCAGAGCGGATCTCAAGACCCATCTGTTTGCAAAATTCATTGGGGAGCGCTGTTGAACATCGTGGAAATAGCGCATTATAGACTAATTGAATGATTGATTCATATCAACAATATTTTATTTGCTGTCTGATTTTCAGGCAATAATAATATTTATGATTAAATCTGCTAAAATTATCATTAAAAAGCGCCAGCAGCATTATTTATTGTTATTATTATCATTATTACTAATATTTGTTAATATTATTATTTTATTTTCTCGAATGTTAATTTTTGAGAGTCTGAACCGTGGTTTTGTTATTTTTTCATTTGTTATTTTCAGAATAACGAGGTTGTTGTTGTTGTTATTATTATTTATATTATTTGTTTTGTTGTTTCTATAAAGTTGTTGTAATTTTGTTGGTTGTGATTTTTTTTTCTCTGTTCCAAACTACTTCTTGACATGTGTTACTTTACTGAATGATGATGAGATTGTAGATTATTATCTGTAAATGATCATGGTGATGGAGGTGATGGAAATGTTGATGTTGGCGATATTGACGATGATGGTGAAGATGATGACAAGGGTGATTACGGTGATGAAGATGATGACAACGGTGATGGTGATGAAGATGGTGATAAAAATGTTGACAATGATGATGATGATGGAGATGTGGATGATGATGATGAATATGATGGGAAAGATGATAATGATCACGACGAGAATGATAAACTTTTCAACAATAATAATCTTTTGCACCATGTATAATATTTATTTTAAACAATTTTCAATAAATTCGTCTTGTTATGTACGTACATTTACGTTTAAATTAAAAAGAGCGCAAACATGTTTTGCTATAAATAATAAATTTAACACCATTCGGAAAAATGTTAATAAAGTATCAATAATATATATAAACACACACATTCATATATATATATATACTGACGCATGTGTTAAATACGTGTTTTATTGCTTAACTACAAATGCATTTATTTATTTATTACTATTTTATAAGATAATTTCTTGCTGTTGTCAATTGAATAAATTTATTTTTCTGAACAATTGAATTGTATTACTAATAAAAAAATAAATTATAATAAAGCGTGTTGAATTATCACCATATTTTGTGTAAAAAATTTATGCCAGCTAGAAACGACAACACCAGATTGCATGTTAAAAATACTAAAACAGATCAAATAACAAATACGTTACTAATGTTAATTAAAGCTTAAAACTGAATTATTCAAATCTAAATCACCTCACTTTTGACATATAATACAATAATTAAATTTTTACATCTTTTTAATGAATTTTAAACAGCGTTCTTTGAAGCAGAAGATAAACTTTTCTTAATTATCATCGAACGTTGGATTCACCATCACAGAACCTTGGTCGCTTTTTAACGTCAGATAACGACGAAATTCATCGTTATTCTTGTAGACGGTGCCTATATCTCCACCGTCGTTCGTGTTGTTGTTCAAGTCGTTGTTCGTGTTGTTGTTCAAGTTGATAGCTCTTGTATAGCCATCTTCATCTACGTATGCATTCGTCGTCACCGTATTAATGTGCCCTTGATCACTAGCTACCTCCACAGTGTCATACTTTTTCAAATATTTCGATTTCGCTGAACTGTTTCCTCCCACAAATCCTGGATCGTTTTTCTTCTTCATGCAGCAAAACACGATGACCCCGATGATTATAACGAGAATGACGAACACCGGTATGGCTAGGAGGCCGAGGTATCTTCGATCTAAGTAAGAATCGTTGGCTACAGCTCTGGTCTGACTACTGCATCCGTAAACATTTGCGGTCCCCGTGTTTGTGTAGCTGCAGAGACAAGTTGGATCGCCCTGGTCATCAACAGCGCATAAATATAAGCAGGTTGATGTGCAGTTCCGACTATCTGCCATTGTTCATTGAGTAGATGGGTGATTTATTAAATGGTGGAGTGATTGGAATGTTTGTTTGATTGAAGTTTTCAGTTTCTTATTCAAATTCTTATTGAGTCAGTTGAATAAAATCTTGTTTCACTAACTTTTCTATAAAAGGATGTTTAAAAAAGGACACAACAAAAACAAAAACAATCTTTTTTTGAATTTTGAAATCATTTTCAAACTAACAGTTGTATGCCGTGTAGTTATTCGTGAAGTAAACTTTGTTGTTCGAAATGAAGATGTAGTTGGATGGGCTGTTGAGTAGCTGTGTTACGTTTTTGTAGGCTGCCGGGGACCTCAACATCAGGCTCAGTTTGGCTGTAGGTAGTTGTGTGGAGTGGAGTTTTGGGAATTATTTCAAATTAAACGTCAGTGCTATTAGTGTTGGTGATGTATTTTAAATATAGATGGTGGATAATCGACTGGTACTCGTGATTAACGTTTATAAACGTAAATTTAAAGTTTTTGTAATGTTTTTTATATGAAAAATGAATGTTAACGCTATCAAATAACTTTATAATTATCTAAATTTATCAGAATAAAGTAATGAAACGAAAAAAATATGTTTTCGATCAAAGTTATGTGTATTAAACCAACATCAGGCAACTAACAAAAATTGGAGGCGGTTCCTGAATCAGATGAAAAATTTTTTTTTACTTTATTATGACTATTATTCAATAAATCAATCAATAAATTAAATTTCTATCGACTCAAAAATATTTTGAATAGAAACGGTATGGAAAATTTTTTGACCAGTCAACAAACACCAATGAAGTTGAATCAAACTTCATCTTATCAGAAAAGTTTATAAGTCAAACAATGAATGGAGGCATTATTAATTTTTTTTTTTGATGTTTGAGTAGCAAACAGAAGGTTTGGCATCCATCTCTAGCCACGGTGGATAAATAAAAGACAAATTTGAAAAAAAGCACCAAAATTTAAAATAATTCGTAGTAAAAATCATAACAAAACAAAAAATATTTCGAAGATGAATAGGAAACTGAATAAGGCAGGCAACCGACCATTCCACGTGTTGTAGTTGGTGATTGACAAAACCGCCAAATCATTTGCGTCTAACACCAAGCTGTCAATCATTTGCTTTTGTACATTGTTCCGTATCGTTTCGTTATTATTTCCAGCAAAACACGGAACAGTAAGATTGCTAATAGTGGCAGCAGTAGTAGTGCTATAAGCAGCTGGAGGAGTTGAAGGAGTAGTAGTTGTTGGAGGGACAACATTAACACCTGGATTAAGTGGTACAAACACCGTCGTTAAAGTGTTAATGATGTTTGCCGTGGTAGTGGTTGCGACTGTGGATGCCGTGCTGCTGCTGAAGCTCGAATAAGTGGTCGCTTCACATTTTATAACAGCGACGATGAATTTCAGAAATACATCTGTAGTATTTGAAGTGATCGTAGAAATTGTGGTTAGGGATGGCGATGACGAAGATGATGTGTTTGATGACGAAGCATGTTGGCTGAACACTGTCGCTGGAGTAACTGTTAATTCTACCTGCGCCTGGGCTAAGGTTTGGAATGTTGGCTGGGACAGCAGGTCACAGTCTAAATTATAAAGAACAATTTAAGTTCGTTTACTTGGATGGCACATTTCACTTGATTGAATTATTCTTATAAAACTCACTATTGATCAAACAAGTTTGCAAGTATTTCAAGATGATATGTTTTAAATGAGTTAGTGTTTTGTTGTGTGAACATTTTTATGAGTATGTTGTTTTGAGTTTTTTAAGTTTTTTTTCCAAAACAATTCAGTAATTAATTTAAAAAATATTTAATTGTGAATATTTAATTATTAAGTTACTAGCAAAAGATTATGTGTAATAAACGGCAAGTGCAATCAGTTTCGTGGCGTTTTTAATTACATTGAGATGATTGATATAGAAATATGAAATGAATGATTTGTTTAAAAAGCTTAACTGACCGGTTGCTCTTTGTTTGACCTGTAAATTAAGTTATATGTGAAAACTATATAAAAATTAAAATTTCCAGATTGTATAAATTTTCGCGACACTATTTTATAAAATCTGTCATAACACAAGAACTAAAATACTACTACTCTTACTACTACTACTACAACTACTACTACTACTACTACTCTACTACTACTACTACTTCTACTACTACTACTACTACTAGTAGTACTAAATATACTACTAACACTAATTTTTATAAAAAAAAAAATGAAAAAATTTGGCAACATTTATCAAATATCTTACCAGGACAACGGTTAAAATAAGACGCCAGTTGTGGAAATCCATTTATTGTTGACGACCTAATAAAATCTTCAATCTCAATTAATTAAACAAATAAATATCTATATATAAGTGTAGCTAAGCAATTAAACTGAAATCCTGATAATAAAATATTTCTTAATTGAAAAATATGTTTAACTTCATTGATTAATAATGATTGTTTGCTTCTGTAAAAATGTTTTTTTCAGTATTTTATATGGTATTACATTCAAGCTTTGTTGTTAACAAGTAAAATTTTAATTATTCAAAATTATAAAACTCAAATAATTAGCCCAAAACATAAATATACATTGTAGTTGCATCAAATTGCATTAATTTTCACTCCCAACTCCTTTACATTTAAAAGTTATATAATAACATCAATAACGTATTTGTAACGCCAATCAGAGTGCAATGCTGATACAAACGCCTGTTAGTAATTATCATCGAGTCTTGCCATTAATAAACTAAAAATAATAATAATACTAACGAACGACGATAATAATAATAATAATAATAATAAATTAACACTACAATAGTCCCTAAAACATTTATTAGTTAAAGGTTTGCCTAAAGTTATGATTATTTAACGATGAGTCACTTGCATTTTGTCAAAGTATGCATGCACGTTATGTTATTTTGTTACAGAAAGATTCAAAGCGAGTTTCGTTAAGCATTCGAAGAATAAAATGTACAATCTTTTGGTGTCTGTGTATGCGTGTGTGTGCGTGTGTGTGCGTGTGTAGACATATTTTGCGTGTAGATTGATTAATATCATAAATAATTTTCCTTATAAATAATTTGCTTATTACAAGCGCATATTTTCTCGATTGTTCTTCCGAGTGTGAGCAAGTTTCCCAATAAAAATTTGGCATATGAGTGTCATAGAGAGTTAAGTAGTCGGCTGTTGACGGTCTGGCTTTAGAATTTTCATTTAAATTTATTTATGTTTAAGTATTTCTATTATTCCCACACGTCTCTTGCCGTCTAATGACGGTTATTTAGCATAAAAGTTAACGCCACAGGAAATGAGTGTTTGTGGATTTTTTCTGAAGCCAGCAATTTAGTTGTAAGATTAATTCCACAAATAATTAGTAACATGCAACTTATTATAAGACCAGGTATTCCTATGGGCAATGATGACTACGGGCTTGTACAGTGCAACACAAGTATAAGTGTGTGTGTGTGTGTGTGTGTGTGTGTGTGTGTGTGTGTGTGTGTGTGTGTGTGTGTGTGTGTGTGTGTGTGTGTGTGTGTGTGTCAACAATTCATGACGACATTCGAGTAGATATCGAAGTGTACACATTTGAGTATTTGACATATTCATTTTATAAAATACATATTATATTATTTTAATAGAGAAAGAGAGAGAAAGAGAGAAAGAGAGAGGATAGTGTGTACTTCTACCAACGCCAACAAAATGAATTTCAATTGTAAACCTTTCATTGTTTCGCTGCTGCAATATGCTCTTAGAACTCAATGGCTTTACCTGATTAACATAACCATATATGATAGATAATAACATTTTAAAAAATTTTTAATATACATAAAAATATTAAAAAGATAATTTAAACAGAAAAACAATAATCAAAAAACAATTATTCATAATGAAATCATCATTTTTTAATGTTATCTTTGTCCAAATCTTAGATGATTTAAAATCATTATTCAATCAATTTGTAATACTAACACACACTACGGTTGCATTTTTTTTAAATGTGGCGCCTATGTAGTTAATTAGATTAGTAAATTTTACTAGATTCATATCATACCAAATCTTCTGAACATAAAATGTACAAATTTATTTTGGAAATCCAGACGTTTTTAATGTATGGTGGTAACTTGAATCGATCAGTTGGCCATCATTATGTATTACTGAACGTGAACATGCCTATAGTTTGAATTTTTGGAATCTGATACATCAATTAAGATGGTAGTTTCTCTACTAGATCCATGCAGTACTTAATTTTCTAAGAATGGAAATTTACAATTCGATGATGGAAATCTGGACGTTTTTGATATGTACCTAGTAATTTGAATCAACAGAATATTCATCAATATTGAACACGCACTATAGTTCGATTTTTTCTTCTATGAAAAGTCGACGGTAGATTGAATTAAGCTGGTATTTTCTTCTACTGTATTCATATTTTATTCATTCTCTTAAACATTAAAAATACAAAATAAAAACGTTGAAACATGTAAAAAGTACACATTCGATTTTAATGATCTGTGAAAACCAGTGTTAGCTACGCTCATTTTGGTTTATTTAAAAAGTTTTAAAACAACAATTAAGTAAATTTTTTTTTATTTATGTTTTATTCTAATTATTTGACAAATTAATAGTGGTATCAGTAACAATTTGTATCTGTATTAAAATCACACTATCTGATCGTTAACCTGTTATTTTAAAAGATTCTCTTAATGTGTTAAAGATTCTCTTAATGTGTTATAATTCTCCGAAGCAAACAGCTTATTTAACTTAAACATTAGTCAAAGCATCACTTATATTGCATGTGGTATGTGAGTATCTTTTTGTATTTGAATTCAAGTCATTAGGCTGCCAGCTAATTTCGCAATCGTTCATGTTTTCAATACGTTGTGTTAGGACATTCTTTTACTGCATTCAATAATTCGCAATTTTAATGATTAAAAAAATAGATTAGTTGAAAAAGATTAGCCATCATTATCGAATGTAGTGGTTTTGAAAATGTGAAACAGATATGGAAAATTATTTTATTATTATTGCTATGGTTATTAAAAATAGTATTATTAATATTAATATTTTTTATTATTAGTAGTAGTAGAAGAAGAAGAAGAAGAAGAAGTAGTAGTAGATGTTGTTGTTGTTGTTGATGTTGTCGTTGTTGTTGTAGCAGATACAGTTGGTTTCTTCTACATTTTTAGAATAAAATATTAATAAGATAAATGAAGTTCAACTTTTAATGAAAAATTGAAATCTGTTGATAAAATATTATTTGATCTAAAACAGAAAGATAGAGCACAAATAAAAATGGAGTGAAACAAATCATTTGAAATAATTAGCAATATCAGATAAACAACTAATATAAATGCGCTCACGCACAGACACACCCACAAAACACGCAAACACACCACATACAAACACATATAAACAAACAAACAAACATACATACCTCTGAGAACATTTTTGGCAAAAATTATAATTGCAAACCTTAAATCTAACAACGTTTTTAACAAAGAATTTCAAGGTAAAATAATCTTCATTGGTTTCATGGCTGTTAAATAGTCTTCATTACACAGAAATGCACATACAAACACACGAACACACACATACGAACACACACACACACAATTAAACAACATAATATATATAAATAATATAATATAAATTCACATAACTATACATAAATAATGCATTATAGGTAGACAAATGCTTTTGTACATAGATTCTCACAAAAATTTGACGACGAAGTTTACCCACAATAAAAAATGAAAAATTAAAATATAAATAAATTAATAAATAAATAAATAAATAAAATATAAATAAATATAAATGTTTGTAATTATTAAATATTATTTTTCCTTTTTGGCAGAACGTCAATATTAAAATATCTAAAACATTTAATTTAAACACTTCAACTATAATAATACAAAAATTCAGTTAGAATGGCTTGGTATTTAATGATCAAGGCGTTAGTTACTTTTTCATTAATTAAACATAAATATCTATGATATCAATATCACACATAAACATGAATAATGCTACTAGCAAAATTAAGGTTATCATCAAATTTCTTGAGGGTTAACACGCAAAATTATCATTTCGCTCATCGTCTATATCAGATTCACCATTATCACCGTCATCATTGCAAACAAGGAATGATGACGGTGATAATGATGAATAATCATGATGGTGATAATTATGAATAATCATGATGGTGATAATTATGAATAATCATGATGGTGATAATTATGAATAATCATGATGGTGATAATGATGAATAATCATGATGGTGATAATGATGAATAATCATGACGGTGATAATGATGAATAATCATGATTGTGATAATTATGAATAATCATGATGGTGATAATGATGAATAATCATGACGGTGATAATGATGAATAATCATGATTGTGATAATTATAAATAATCATGATGGTGATAATGATGAATAATCATGATGGTGATAATTATGAATAATCATGATGGTGATAATTATGAATAATCATGATGGTGATAATGATGAATAATCATGATGGTGATAATTATGAATAATCATGATTGTGATAATTATGAATAATCATGATGGTGATAATGATGAATAATCATGACGGTGATAATGATGAATAATCATGATGGTGATAATTATGAATAATCATGATGGTGATAATGATGAATAATCATGATGGTGGCCATCATTTTCAACCTCTTCTTCATTCATCATCATCTATAATAATTACTACCCATTTACATTCTTCATCAAAACATTATCGATACAGTAATCGTCATTATCGTCATCTCATTGTTATCATAAATTGTATTTCAATATTTTCAATATTTCAATATAATAATAGTATTATAATAGTATAATAATATTGATATTCAATAGTATAATCATCAATACTATCGTCAACATTGATATTATATACACTACATATTTAAATCCACATTAAAAGATTGGTGTATATGTATATATACATATATATATAAATTTTTATATCTACAATATATATATATATATATATATATATATATATATATATATATCTACAATATATATATATATATATATAATATATTGTTTAACAATATATGAATGTTTATATTAATATATAGATACACACATATATTTGTAAATGATAGCTTACCCACTCACTCATTCATCAGTACAATCCCTCATCATTATCATTTTCATATCTATTCCTGCCGCTTCGAACGCTGTCGAAGCCGCCTCTCGACCTGTAGGCCTCGCTTCTGACGGTGCCTCCGTTCTCGTTGTTTTCGAAGTTGACGCGGTCGAGGACGCCGGCGTCTGTGGCCTCGTAGACGGCTGGATGGATTTTGTGGATGTCTTGGTTCTTTTTTCTTTTTGATCTCCTGTGTGGAGGGTGATTTTGTTGGTTGATTGGTTTGTTTGTTGATTGGATGGTTTGTTTGTTGGTTGGCTTGTGGTTTATTTGACGGTTTGTTGGCTGGTTGGTTGGTTTCGTTGTTGGTTGATTGATCTGATAGATGGACGATGGTTGGCTGAGTGAAAGAAGGTAATGATAGTTAATTATTCGTTCGTAAGCATAGTCAATCATAAGCTTTTTTCCCATTACGAAGTGTTGACCAATTAATGTTATGCTTTGAAATACAGTTAAAATTTATTTTGGCCTAATTTTTATTTTTAAAAAGTAAAAAAATCATAAACTGAAGGACCTTTGAAGGAGACAAACGACTAGGACGATGATCAATATCAGTGCAATGACGCATGATGGAATGGCTATCAAGCCTAACAAATTCCTGTTGTCTGATGGTTTGGGTGTAGTTGTGGTGGTTGCTGCTGAGCAGAAGAAAAAAGTTCTATAAGCGTCGTTGTTGTTGATGTTTGGGTTGTTGCCGAGTGTTGCACAACCGACGCAGTTTAAAGTGTTGTTGTCGTTGAGCATACATTTCTCACCAGAGGAACATACGCTCGCGTTGCATTGGCCACCTTCAACTGTTGAAAAAAGTGAAAATTAATTAGTATTCTGCAAGTTTGCTTCAGTTGAAACACTATTTTTTTAATAAAACTGTTCATAATAAGTTTTTTACCGGTAGCATTTTTCTTGCTATCACAAATTCGTAGTTAATAATCACTCTGACAATACTAAAATTATTAAAAATAAGTTTGACAGTTGGAAATTTAGTCATACCTGCTGGCCAAAGCAATGCTGACTCAACTTGTTGGCCGGCTATTGTGTTGTTGTTGTTGTTTTGGAAGTAGTTAGACACATTGATGCTGTTGTTTGTGCTGGCTATGTAAATTATTTGTGTTTTGTTCACTGTTGTTGTCGTCGGTTGTGTTCCATTAGCTGCAATTAATAATGATTTTTAATCAATTCATAGAAAAACAGAAAGTTCATTTTTTTAGTACTTTTTAGAAAACGTATTGAAAATAATTAACACATTGAACAGTTTACATTTGAAGGTTTGTAATTATGTTTCTCGTAATTGTCGTTAGAGACAGATTTTTTTCGCAATAATACATCTTCATCATCGTCATCATCCTTATCATCATCGTCGTCATCATCATCATCACTATAATCATCACTATCATCATCATCATCATCACTATAATCATCACTATCATCATCATCATAGCTATAATCATCACTATCATCATCATCATCATCATCTATAATCATCACTATCATCATCATCATACTATAATCATCACTATCATCATCATCATAGCTATAATCATCACTATCATCATCATCATCATCACTATAATCATCACTATCATTATCATCATAGCTATAATCATCACTATCATCATCATCATCATCACTATAATCATCACTATAATCATCACTATCATCATCATCATAGCTATAATCATCACTATCATCATCATCATCATCACTATAATCATCACTATCATCATCATCATAGCTATAATCATCACTATCATCATCATTAGGAGCTATAATCATCACTATCATCATCATCATCATCACTATAATCATCACTATCATCATCATCATAGCTATAATCATCACTATCATCATCATCATCATCACTATAACCATCACTATCATCATGACTCACTCCCGACTTGTCTCTTCCTCCTCCTTCTTTTCTTCTGCTTAACGCTGGCAACGACGCTACCTGAGGTTTCAAGGTAACGGTCATTCAATTTATCATTGTTGGGATTTTTCATATGTAAAAAAATGACGGCTCTTTAAACGTTTTTTAAGTTGTCTCTTTATAGGTCCTCATATCGTCTACATTCAATCACACGCGCATATATACTTGCAGTTGAAGACACACTCACACACCACACACGCACACAACACCTCGGACCAAAATTTATTGTAGACTTTCTTTGGATTTAACCTAAGAAAAACTTCCTAATGATGGTTGAATCGCAATAAAAAATCTGTAAATAAATAACTCATATACTAGCTTCAAAAAAAAAATGATAAATTAACATTACTTTTAATTTTCTGCTCAACAATAGTGACATCAAAATTTTGCTTGGTCATAACATTCAACCAGTTTTTAACATCAGAGTTGTTGATGATTGTCGGGGAGACACTATACAACAAAATGGAACCAGAATATACAGATGGTTTTGTTGTTGTTGTTGTTGTTGTTGTGGAGGTCGTGGAAGTTGCGTCTGATGTATTTGAAATATATGGTGTGGCTGATGTCGGGATTGCCACTCCAGTTGTACTACTAAAAGGTGTAAACACAGTAGTCGGAAATGTAGATGGAGAAATAGTAGATGACTGCAAAGTTGGGTTTGCAACAGGGCTTACGGTCGGCTGTGTACCTGTCCCAATATTAACTTGAAAGAAAAAAAATTAGCTAATTATAAAACTAATGGCGATGACTTCTTTTAAAAACTTGACGAGAAAAATTGTAAATATATTTTAACATGGAGTCATTTTTAATTTATTCTTACAAAATCGCACTGCTTATGTAACTAAACAATTTAAAAAACCAAAATATTAAACAAATGTTCATGAATATGGAGACAATTTGAATGTTCTTCTCAATACTGTCGTAAAGCACAAAAGTCGATAGCAAAGTTAGTTACAATGAAAGAATTAAATCGAAAACAAACTTTGTTGAGTTGAGATCTGGATCTAAATTATTTAAATAAATAAATAAATATATTTATTGCTGGAAAATTGCAGGAATAAAATCACGAATTTTAAAATATAAGCCATTAAAATTAAAAAAAAATTATTTTGTCAAATTGTTGTTATTAGTTAATTAATTGAATAATTAACAAATAATATCAAAATTAAAGTAATGAATAACTACTTTATTAGTATATTAGTACTAACCGAAGCTACCAACATCAAGATCGTGATCTCGACACCAAGGAAGTACATTTTTATTTTTTTCACAATTTATTCAATTGAAAATTTATTTAAAATGAAAATAAAAACATTAATTGAGAAGATTAATACATCTAATTAATAACAACAAATCATATCACACATTAATGCTAAAAATAATTAGGATTGGGATAATTGAATAAAACAAAAGTTGATGAAGTTGATGTAGACAGCTTAAACGAGATCCAATAACATAGAAATGTATCAATGAATAGAAGATACACCATATATATGTACATACATACATACACATACACGCACATACACACACATACATATACACACACACACACACAATACAATAGTGATACTCGTGTCCTGAAGACATTATATACACTTCTGTACCCGATGAAAAATAAATAACTGGCATTGTTTTGTTTTGTTTAGCTGTGCTTCCAACTTACTCGATCAACCATAAAAAATTTTACATTATAAAATAAGAATAAAATAATAATAATAATAATAATTATAATAATAATAATAATAATAATGATATTTATTAATAATAAACCTATTTAATTTATTGATGTAATATTGCGAAGTTGCATTGTAACGGACAATTCATCATTCAATTCATCATACAATTCATCAATCATCATCACTTTTAGTTTTTATATCGTCATCATCACCGTCGCTCAAACAATTTTCTAAATTTACTATTAAATTAATTAATTATAATTTTTGTTAATGTTAATATTAGTTATTGTAGTGTTCGTAGTAGTATTAGTGTTAGTAGTAGTAGTAGTAGTAGTAGTAGAAGTAGTAGTAGTAGTAGTAGTAGTAGCAGCAGTAGTAGTAGTAGTAGTGAATAAAATAAAAATTTAAGTAGAATTTATCTGTTTGATTTGCTCAAGAGAACAATGTTTAAACATACTCTTTTTTCCCATCTGCTCGGATTAGTAGGATGTTTAAGATTAAGGTTTTTATTCCATTATATAGAGATATCAAAATCCCACACAATGTGTGATTTTGATAAAAGTTATTTTCAAGACATGTATTAAAGAAGTTGCTACTGAATATTTAACTGACGGAGTCATTTCTAAAACAAGGCCACTTCTGAGTCAAACATTGCGCTCTGACAATTCAGGTTTACTCTTTGTACCTGACATAAACTTGTCTCTTGTTCGAAGGAATTTCTCCGTAATGGGTCCTGCTGTCTGGAATAGTTTGCCTGGGAACCTTTGTGATCCTGCGTTTTCTGCTATTTAATTTCGTAAACGCTAAAACACCATCTTTTTGTCCAAGCTTACCCGTGCTAATTGTATGTGGATAAGTGTGTACCAACTCATGACACACAATGAATACTGGATACCCGTGTCTGCAATCATTACACTATATATCTTGCTTGCTCTGGTAACAAGCTTGTTTGAATTATCTTCTCAATGTATCATCCTGAATTATACTTATGGTAGGAAAGCTATAAAGGATCTACTTGAACTTGTTGATTTTTTTGGATTATATTTCTTTCAATATATCATTCTGAAAGATATTTGTAGTAGGATAAATGTAAAGGATAGATATTTGAAATGAAATAAAGGATGCGGTTATGATTCACTAATCTGTAAAAACAATTTCATAAAAAATGATAACAACAAAATGGACGTAGAAATCAATTTTTTATTACTCAATCGCAACGTCATTGAGTTAGTGATCTGTACATTTCATTGGCGTTATAACATCGCCATCACCAAAAAATGAATTAAAATTTATATTAAAAAAAAATTTATAAAAATAAAATTCTCCTAAAATAGCGGAAATGTACGTAACGTCTTAAGCAAGTAACATTAGTAATGTGTATTCTAGAAGTGACACATACACATATTCATGCATGCAGAAATGAATAAGAAACATTCATTATATAACAGGATTCATCTGATGTCTTTTCAAATTTACGAATAACGAGGCATGAATTTCATAATACTTCAATTCTTAAATTGAAAAGTAGCTTCCTTATTGCGATTTGCGTGTGCGTGTTGTGACTATTGATGCGTGTGTGTTTGTCTCTTTCTATCTAAGTTATCTTTAATAAAACGTCCTAACAATATCAGTTCCTATCAGTAAAATTAATAGAAAATTATTTACAATGTAGATCTAAATCATTTAAAATAAATAAAAATGTTCATGGCAGCTGTATTATTATATATTATTATGCAAAATATTAAATTATGCACTTATTTGGGTTTTTATATGTGAATCTATTGATAGACTGTACAGATGTTAGTAAAAATGGATATAAATTATGGACACATATATATACAATATACATACAATTGTGTGTATGTGTGTGGATATGTGTGTATGTAAGTGTCTGTGTGTGTTTATATTTAATGGATTAATATGAAACGTCGATACGGCGACGTTTGTATATGTTTGTGAAATACTTAGGTTAATCAGCATGCTTCAAATCTTCAAATTTCAAGTAAACCATTACAATTGTGAGTTGGGTCATTGAGTTTAAAAATTTACTTAGCAATAATTTTTGAATTTCGTAGAGAAAACTTTGCAAAATTAAATAAAGTTAACAAGTGGTCAAAATTGTACATTAATGACTGAAAACATTTATACCGATTGTGCCTTTGTTTTTGCTTCATTTCAAACAGCATCACATGACATTCACACTTCCATCGGTATAATTTTATAACATATTTTGCAAAAACAAAATCACTACAAAATCTCATCACATCAACATTATCACAACAATAAAAAAATAACACTAAACTACTACATAACCATATTAACGCAACATCTTCCTTTCAAAAAAATTCTTCAAAACCCAACATTTGCTCACCATTATAGACAATTTCTTTATTAATATACATAAATAAACACCATTTTGCTATTTTTTCATAAACATACATCAATTTTTCATCATTATACACAACTTCTTCATCCGTATACACTATTTCTTCATGAAAAAACAGTATTTTTAAACTCTTCAAAATTATAATACAACGTCTCTCTGTTTCTACTCCAGTCCCTACGTAGTCTTTCGTAGCAGTGATCTGTATCAGCACACTCGTTGTTGCCATTTGTTGCTGCAACATCGTCGTTGTTGTTGCTGTTTGTTGCTGCAGCATCGTCGTTGTGGTTGCTGTCTGTTGCTGCAACATCTTGCGTGTAATTGTTGTCGTTGTTTATGTTTATTGGTTGCGTATTCTTGTAGATGACAGCGACTTTTGAGTTTTCTGTTTTTTTCTGCTTAGATTTCCTTATTTGAAATTAATTTATGAACGGTTGGAAGATTGAACATTGTATGGGGTGACTGATTGGAAAGTTAACTGATTGATAAATTTAGTGCTTGAATGATTGCTTGATCAAAATAATAACGTCGTTTAATTTAATGATTTAGTTGATCAACATCGTTATGCTAATAAGATTGTCCGAAATTGTCCTGCAAATATATCTACATACTTTAATGAATAAACTATAAAAAAATTGTTTGTTAAATTCAAAAACATTAAAGTCTCATTAAACAAACCTTCTAAAAAAGTATACAACAAGGACGATGGACACTAGCAATATGATGATGAACGGAATGGCTATCAAGCCTAACAAATTTCGATTGTTAGTACCTCCGCCTCTGTCGTTACTTACTGCACAGAGATAAAAAGTGTTGTATGCATTATTATTATTGTTGTTGTTGTTGTTGTTGTTGTTGTAGTTGTTGTTGTTGTCCGTAAGTACTGAACAGCTGACGCAGGATAAACTGTTACTATCGTTGATCATACATTTTTCATTTGGAGAACATTTGCTGGAGTTACATTGGCTACCCTCAGCTTAATAGAAAATTTCAAGGAAATTATAAATTTTAAGTTTTTACTAATATAATTATTATTAAAGTTTGTTTTTATAATTTAAAATTAAATTGTATGAATTAATTCAAGAATATGAGCGTGATTAGAAGAGTAACAGTTATCCCAACCAGACATCCATAGGAGTGCCATCTCAACCTGCTGGCTGTCGATGGCTGGGTAGTTGATGGGATTGTTGTTGCTTGCGAAGTAGGAAGTTAAGTTGTTGTTGATGCTGTTGACTAAGTAGTATATCGAGGTCTTGTTAACAGCTGTTGTCGTTGCTCGTCTTTGCGTGCCTAAAACTGCCAAATTTTAAACAGTTGCATTTGATTAAAAAGGTTTTCTATAGCGTCATATTATAAGTTTGTTTTGTTTGTGGAATATTTTTTGAAGTTAGAATTTTTAAAACTGGAACAGAAGAAATGTAGCGAGATGTAAACATTATAATTATAAATTATGATGGTTTTGAAACGTTGTAATCATCACTATCGTCATTGATATTATCGTTATCACTATCATCATCATTATCATTAAAATTATCATTATCATTACTTACTTTCTTCTCTTTTTCTTCTTCTTTTCTTCCGCCTTTTTCTACGTTGCACGTTTACAACTGGAGCACCTTATAATTTAATGTAAACGTCATTGGTTTGGTTACATCTATTTACTTTTTAACTAGGCTGTATGATAGCCTAATGGTTAAAGACGCTGGGTGCTGTTTTGAAATTATTAGGTTCGGATGCAAACGAGATCTTCGCCTATCATAAGCAGTGTATGTGCGATTTGCATTCACATTACAATCCTCTTTGGTTTGGTAGAGGTCAACACAAGTTCGCAACAGCTCTCTCTGAGGAGGATTTAGGTATGAAACCATATTGACTTTTATTTATTTTATTTAATATAATGACAACTTTCCACATTCTTGCAAACATGAGTTTTTCGAAAATCTTAGTTGACAACATCCAAAGATTTATTCACTTGAAATTAGTTGTTTTCAGTTTGGTGTACAATTTTTTTTATATAAAAGTTTGCCATAACGTACATAATATTTGTTCAAAAATTGATAAATTAACTGAAGGATCATTTAATTTATTCTTTATTCAAAAGGTAAAACAAAAAAATTTTACTTTTAATTTTCTGCTCAACAATTGTAATATCACAATCTTGTTCGGTGAATGTTTTCAGCCATGTTTCAACAAGGTTGTTATTGAAAGTTGTGGAAGATAAACTTTTCAGCAAAATGAACCCGGAATAAGTTATTGGAGTTAGAGTTGTAAATATATTTGTTGTTATTGGTTTTGTAGTAGTAGTAGTAGTTGTTGTAGTAGTAGTAGTAGTAGTAGTAGTAGTAGTAGTAGTAGTAGTAGTAGTAGTAGTAGGGTTAGGGTTAGTA